TATTCCATTTCTGCCAGTAGATTCTCCTAAATTTTACACACTGGACCTTTAATTTATCACTTACCTGTCTATTTTCAGCTATTTATGCACGAGCACCCCTTCTGTAAGGTATAATAATTGTATACAGACCGCATAGAAAGAACTCATGCACAGCAGAGCAAAGGTGTGTGTGTATTTGTCCTCTGTCACTGCCAGCTCTCTTGCCTCACCTTGACTTGTATTATTCATCAGGTGAGTTATCTCGGCATTGTGAATAGATTGGTGGAGGCGCCCATCGAGCAGATTATGAAAGAGCAGCAGGGAGGTCAATTTACTCACGTCATACACACCAGAAAGTAAATAATTAAGAATGAGAACTTGGCAGCACTGACTTATCTCACTTGTTATGTTGTTTTCATTGTTTTTGTATATGGATATTTAGTTCATTATGTCCTGTAATCAGCGTTGGGAGATTCAGATGGGAGCAATGTAATTTCCATAATTTAGAAGATGACTTAAATTAACCTTGGACATTTATACTTTGTGCATTATATTTCATTTTGCAAAGGACAGTGTGACCTACAATAAACATCCCTCTATCATCTATATTACAAAAGTAAAACTGACCTCTTGTGGCCCCTGTGATCCTGTATGATAATTATGCTAAATTATATAATTGTTCACACAGCTCTGCAGCAGTGAGGGTGTAAAAGAAACTGAGCCTGAATAGAAAAACTAGTAGAAAGGCTTTTTGTACAGAGTATTAATCATTTAGAGTTTATTCCACAAAGGCAGGAGTTGTGAAGATTTATTAGTAGACTAGAGCAGTGGTTTTCAAACTGTGAAAACAGTGGTTTTCAAAACCTTGAGTAAGTTGTAGGGGTTCCCTAGAAATATGTTTACATTTATCATATTTTTTGGAAGTTGGAACAAGGAAAGAAATCCAGTCTGCTGTTTTGATTGATTGTTATTTATAGTGATCCTAGTTTGACTTATTATGAGCAAATACTCCACCAAGCACTGTAAAAAGTAGTAAAGTAAAAACAAAAGTTTTATTTTTAGAGTTCATAAGCCTTTCTCAAGGGCACTTCGACAGAGCTCAGGAGGGGATACTCCATACTGTGATGTCTAGGAGTTGAACCTGCAACCCTCCGGCTCCAAAGCCAAGTCCCTACACACTGAGCTACTGGTGTGACTCATATATATTGTACTTTTATAGTTCACAACATTTAGTTACAACACCAGTTACTGATTACTCTGCAGATTAGGATGTTGCATACAAAGTATATGGATGTAATATTATGATGCATTATTTATTAAACTACCCAAAAGTACATAAAACGTTGAACCAGCAGTAACTGGTGTCGTAACCATGTCACTACTGTGTCGTAATATTGTGAACTATAAAAGTACAATAAATATTCCTATTCCTATATATTCCAGTGGTTTTCAAACTGTGTTTCCTTGAGTAAGTTGTAGGGGGCCCCTAGAAATATGTTTACATTTTTTGGAAGTTGGAACAAGGAAAGAAATCCAGTCTGCTGTTTTGATTGATTGTTATTTATAGTGATCCTAGTTTGACTTATTATGAAGACTTTTTTTATTATCTTTAAACCTAAAAATAAAAAACTATTCATAGGAAATTCCTCAAGACAGAATCCTGTCTACATTGCATCTATTGCGGGGGTCCTTGACATGAAAAAGTTCAGGAACCTCTGGACTAGTGTATGAAATGCATCCCAGTGATTGAGTGCAGAATCTGCACTTTAATGATAAAACATGACTTATAAATTCCAAACATTATTGTATTTTTATGTTCTCATACAGATTTAAAGTGCACAAAAAGAAACTTTCCTCCTTCAGCAAGTGAGAAAACAGCACTGAAAATGTTAAAAGAGATAAAAACTGGTTACGCTTATGTTGCGTTCAGGGTCAAGGTTGTGCAAAATCAGGGTACTGGCACCTCTTTTGGTCCAATTCAGGCACTGGAAGCCAAAGATGATCAAATGAATGATTTATAATTAATGTTATTCAATAGCTTCCAATAATTATTATACTAATTTGATAGTAGCCTATTTGTCATCTTTGCTGAGGAAGAGTTTTTAAATTAATGCATGTGCCAAATAAAGGAAGGTTGAGTTTAATGGTTAAAGCAAATAAAAGCCCAGGTTATTAATTTATACATATATGATTCTGCACATTGAAGCTAAAACAATCAAATTGAACTTTTTTTGAGTGGAAGGGACACTGTGGACACCTCTGAAGCAAGTAAATATAAAATAAAGACAACCAAAGTGGCATGTTCTACATACACAACACATACAAATAAATAAATCTCTCTTAAAAACTTGAAAAAAGCTCAAAAGAAGGAGAGTTTACTTTAAGTGCAGTAGCCAAATTCCTTCACTTCAGTGCCCAATGAGATGTTTTCTGGCACATACTCTCAGCCCAAGCCCGAACACAAGCCTCTCCCACTGGTTAGAAAAAGTTTGAGTTGAACTATTTCCTCGGTGCTATAAATACAGGAGCGAGCGCACATCTGCACTTCAGAGCGAGGCGTGGTCAGCCAGAGCTAACAGGTGGGCCGGTGCGTACAGCTGCAGTCACACTTCATCCGCAGGATACCTACCGTGTTTTTACATTAACACACACACACCCACAGCTGCAACAAAATGCCAAAGTGCCCAAAGTGCCAGAAGGAGGTCTACTTCGGTAAGGCTGCTCTCTTTTATTCTCATGTTCATGTTTTAATGCAGGGATGTCATGTTCCATGCGTGAGAACATTTCCTGGTTAATGTAAAACGCAAAGGAAGAAAAAAAAAAGCGGGTTTTCTGCACAAATGAGGAAACAGGAAATCCGACAAGGCAAGAAGCTGCAAGCACATGACTGCGTGACTTTATATATTATACGAATTAAATGTTAAATAAGCTGTTATGTATGTATTCTAGGAGTTTAACAGGGAGTCGCAGCGCCACTACAAAAAAGTACTCGTTGTGCAGAATGGCTTATTATTGGATATTAATGCATGTAACTACTACTTGGTGGAGTATTTGCTCAAAGTGGAGCTCATTTGAACAGTTTTATGTACTTTTGGGTAGTTTAATAAATCATTTATCATAATATTACATCCTTATACTTGTGTGCAACATCCTAATCTGCAGAGTAATCAGTAACTGGTGTTGTAACTAAATGTTGTGGACTAAAAAGTACAATAATTCCCTCGGAAACTGATGAGTAGTATAAATACAAAGCAGCAGAAACTTGAAATACTTAAGTAAAGTACTTCAAAATTGTGCTAAAGTACAGTGCTTGAGTAAATGTACTTGATTACTTTCCACTGCTGAGAATAAGGCTCCACAGATACAATAATGAGTAGACTTAAAGTACTTTTAAGTAATTGATCTGAAGGCCTCCTCTTCCACCACTGATGCACTCACACACAGTACGCAGCACTTTAATGCTGCAGCTGGTTGAGCTGGAGCTAATTTTACCTGCTTTGTTTACTTGTTTGGGTACTTGTATAATCTATAATTAATCATATAGAGTAAAAAGGTACAATTTTCCGCTCTGAAATTGAAGAAGATATGATCAGCAGAAAATAGGAAATACTCAAGTAAAAGAATAGTACTCGAGTAAATGTAGTTAATTTAATCACTAGAATTTTAATGCAGCTTTATCTGCTTACTTGCTCACTCTTTCGCTGTCAGTCCACCCTCTTATAGTCTATATATAATTTTACAAATGAATGCCTCAGAAGGTCACTTAAGCTTTCTTGTTATCAAGTTACGTTGCAGTTTAATATCTGTGCTCCCTCTACAAATTGAATTGTCTTTCTCGATGACTGACGAGCTACGTGAATAATGACTCGACAGCTCCATTCCTTTCCAAAGCGATCCTGTTGGTCCGTCTCACAAGGATCCCATCAAACACGGAGCAATTACAGCATCCGGGGAGGAAAAGGGACAGTTCCATTTTATTCGTGTCTTAATCCATTTACCACATTGTCTGCCGCTCAGTAGTGCAACAGAGTAAATCTTCTCTGGAGAGACGCGCAGAGGGCCGAGGCCAACACAGAGTACAAAGCCAAGTCTTTGGACTGTCAGTCAAATGAATTGACCGTGCAACTGGGGAGCCATGCTTCCCATTCTTCCCTTTCATGGTTAAACGTCCCCCTTCGGGCCAAAACAAGCAAACCAGTTTGTTTCGTCCAGAACGAGCCGACCAGTCTTTTTCCTTTTTCCATGCAGGAAGAGGGAAATATAGCCTAAAACAAAGCTTTGTATTCTTTTTGTGGTAACCTCGTCCTGACCTGTCTGCATCAATTTCCCCCCTCAGACCTCCTTTATAAACTCGCTCCATGTCTCACTCCTTCATTGTGCAGTCTGTGATCGCCTCCATCGCACCTCGCTGCTCCACATCCCATCTTACTCTTTTACTGCTCATCTGTCTTAATGTTTCTAAGCTCTCAGATGGAAACAATCAGGCTACCGCTGCCTCCGGTGAATGATGAAGAGGGAACTTGATCCAATTCCAGCTTCACCTCGAGCATTAGACAAAATAAATTTTAATATACTGCTCCTGCTTTCCACTGCTGGACCACTGACTTTAAATAAACTAAATAGGCAAATTTTGTTATCTTTGGACAGAGCCCAGCTTGCTGTTTCCCTGTAACGTTAATCATCTCATGGCTGTAGCCTCATATTTAGCGTATGGACACAGGAGTGGTATCAATGTTTGTATCCTGCTCTAGTAAATTATTTCCTAAAATTAAACTATTTCTATGATTAGTAAGATTTAAAGGTTTGTGGGCTGATTTTGGACAGAGCCAGGCTAGCTGTTTCCCTCCACTTACGCTAAGCAGTAGTGTCAGGAAGTTGCGATTTTGCTATCGTAACCATTAATGCAAATTCAACCAAAAAGGGGGTTAATGTTTCCCCATATTCGTCCAATCATTCAAAGTTTGACCATCAAACTCACTTCTATGTTTCTAGTTGTGAAGATGCAGATTATGCACCCCGTCCAAACAAGTTGCCTTTGTAAATTGGAAATTTGAATACATTTCGAAGTTATTTTTGCATTTTTCACTTTCTCTTTTTAGAAAAGCTTTCATGAAATCTGGCATTTTAGGTTTTAGGCCACAAAAATACCTCCAAAAAGTCAAAAGGTGGATTCCTGGAGGGACTGACTTATGCTAAGCTAACAGGCTGCTTGTGGTAGCTACATACTTACTAACAGATGTTAAAAAAAAAGAAGCTAATTTTACATTGAGTACAAAAAGAAAACATGTCTATTTCCAAACATATCTAAGTATTCCTCTAAATATGCGGCTGCAGCCAGCAGCTGATTAGCTTAGCTTAGCTTAGCACAAAGACTGAGAATAGAGGGACACAGCTAGCCTAGCCTAGTGTCAGAAAGTAACACAATCTACCTGCCAGCTCTTTGAGACAAGAATAACGTTAATTAGTGAGCTAGTTTTGATCGCTTCGGACAGAGCCAAGCTAGCTGTTTCCCCGTTTCCAGTCTTTTCGCTAAGCTAAGCTAACTGGCGGCAAGCTGTAGCCTTAAATTTACTGAGTAGATATGAGTGATATCAATCCTCTCATCTAACTCTTGGTCAGAAAGAGAATAAGTGTATTTCCATAAATGCTAAACTATTCCTTTAAAACTTAAACTCAGTTGATCTTCATACCATAAAGAGGGTTCCTGTATTTAAGCTCATTCAGTCAACCCTAAATCCTTCAGACTGCATTCTTAGACTCTTTTTTTAGCTCGACAAAGTGTTATACAACCTCTCCATGAATCTTTTTTGGGAAGGAATGAAGCGAATAGTTAAGCAGGCCTCCCTCATTGTGTTTTTCCATTCAGATTTGTGTCTGTGTGTTTTGGACCGCCTCCATAATTCTCCAGGCAATGCGAGTTGATACAGAGAGCAGATCTCATTATACGTCTGTCTGTCACACCTCATATCTTCATATCATCAGGTAAAATAAATAACCCGTGCACAAAAAGTAAGCTTTATCAGAATCTATACACAATGAGGAGTAGAACTGATCAGGATGGGACGGGAGCCCGCTGTTCGCTCAGTCCACTAGTTTGTTATTTGAAGTGAAGTACTGTGATTATTTCGGGTCAGACTTTCGTTCCAACCCCCCGGCCACATTTTGCTGAAATGTTTTTATGCTGCTGGGCTGAGAGGTTGACCTCGCCCCGGAGCACTTTCTCTCGTTTCCGCTGCCTGTTGCATAATCTCATGCCACATCGGGTTATTTTTAGGGAGGAAAATATGTCAAACGCTAATACTGTGGGAAGGTTTGGAGGCCGGTGGCTTCAGGTGAAACAAGGGTTACTTTTGCATTCCTTCATACATCCTCTTGTCCTTTGACTTCTTTATGTTTTTACCAAACCTGGCAGATGATATATGTTCAGTTAGTTCATCAGTTTACACTTCTCCTTTCCCTTCCCTTCTCTTCTCTTTGCACAATTTCCCAGGCTTGCATTCCCCGAGCGATCAGAATCCTTGTGTGTAGATCCTTGGCCAGATTCTCGCCCGTATTCGAGTGATGAGTCTCAAACGTCGTCTAAACTCTTGTCCATCTTTCTCCATTAAAGACTTAGACTGTCGGGTTCCTCCCCACTTTTATAGTCCTCCTGATGAGTGTTTGTGCAGATCAGCCCTGCAGATAAAGACGGTCTTTATCAGAGTTTATGAGGCGGGAGGAGGACAGATTCCTTTGGGACACTCTGTCCTCTTTTTCCCTCAAGCGCCACACCCAAAGAATGTTATCGAGGTTATCTGCAAAGACAAGATCTTGTTCGTCTATAATTGATATTGCGCCCAAAATCTCAGGACTATGAGCTCATACTTCTGGTCTGAGATGCATTAACCGAACCACGTGTGACCCTGTGACACTTCCAACTCCTCTGCAGACGACAGTGGCTCTCTTTGTGGTGGAAGTTCACGGCTGTGGTTATTAATTTTGTCTTCTGGTGTGTTTGGCAGCCGAGAGGGTGACGTCACTGGGGAAGGACTGGCACAGGCCCTGTCTGAAGTGTGAGAAGTGCAACAAGACGCTGTCAGCAGGCTCACATGCGGAGGTGAGACACCTGGAATACCTACAGTACAGACAAGAACATAATGTATACAGGGTATTAAATCTGAACCTCATTCATTTGACAGTATTTAGCTTTTACTTTCCACACTTTCAAGCAACTCAAGTTATAAAGTAGTTTTTAAGAAGTAAAGTTCAAATACAGAAATTAGTTTGAATTTAAAGTTGATTTATTTGTTACTTAGCTATTGATAACCTAAATGATTGTGTTATTTGCTAGTGAAGAAGGATAGAAGAAAGACAATAAAGGAAGGAAGTCATCAGGAAGTTAATGCAAATACAACCAAACCGTGAATTCTTGTAGGTTTACTTTAATTTTTAATGACCTATACAAAAAAACTGCAACTATTTTTGCAATTTTCACTTTCTCCCACAGTTTAATTGCAAAAACATGCTTAAAAACATCGCAACAATCCAAAAAATGGGTCTATGGGTAGAGTGTGGCATAAAATAATCCAGTTCCCAGGCACTTAATGGACGGTTATGAATTAAAAATCTTCAATAAATATGGACGAGTACATTAATGTATTCACCCCCGAGTTCAAGACGATTCATCAAGTATCATAATGTACCTTATAACAGCAGCTTTACACTATGATAAAATGGTCAAGTGCAGTTTAGGAGATAAACAAGGTTAGCTAGTAGCCCCAAGTCTTATTTACATGTATAAATGTATGAATACACCCCCAAGCTCAAGTCATCAAAATAGTTAATATAATTGTGAGCTTTTACACCATATTTGGACATACACACACAGGAATACAGCATTTTATTTCACTGTGTCTTTGAAATGTACATTTATTTCTATGATAATGTACTTTTTTGTTTTGTTTTGACAACTAATAAAGACTTTTTGAGCATACTTTTCACCAAAAAAAGGATATAATGTTGTTGGATTGCCTCCAAAATACAAAAATAGACAAATTTTAACGCTTACTACCTTAATATTTGTAGATGTTTTGATATTTTCAATGCACCCATGCTCATACAACTCTGCCTTTTACAGCATGAAGGCAAGCCATACTGTCACAACCCCTGCTACGGTGCAATGTTTGGACCTAAAGGTAAAAAAAAAAAAGGATTGGTCCCTGACAGCCATGATAGCGAAAGGCTTAGTCACCTTTGTTCGGGAGACTCGTGGCCAGGAACGCCCTGTGGGAAAATGATGTTTTGTATCTGATTGTGTAAAAAGGCAGTAAATGATCCCATCCCATCAGAGCACACGCTGTCACCTGATTGGGTCACGCATTCAATAAACCAGTCGTTACACAATTGGTACCATTCTGTTAAACTCTTATCTTGGGTGGAAGTAGTTGTTGAAATTAAAAATAGGTGAGGCTATGAGATAATTTCTCTGCTTTAATGTACATTAATGTTGACTTAATGTCTTTCCTTACAGGATTTGGACGCGGTGGAACCGAGAGCCACACATTTGCTAAATAGAAAGGTAGTGAGCGCACAGTCTTTCACCAGGTCATTTGCCTACATTTGTTAATCTCTCATATTTTCATCCTATTTGTTAAGACACACACAGACCTTGACTCTAAGCAAATCTTCATCGTTGTGTTTGTTTTCTCTGTTTCTTCATCAGGTTCAAGGCCCCGCAGTAAAAATGTTGCCTGGAAACTAGTTTGAAAGAAAAAGCCAGCATGCTCGAAAGTCCCAATAAAAACCAGCAAACAAACTGTAATCTGATTCAGAAGAAACATTTTGTGTGATTGATTTATTCTGGGTTTTCTGAAGAGGATTGTGTATTCCTCTAATCTCATCCTGTTATTAATGTGGACATTCTGATTAAACACTTTTTAAATTTGTGTCATTATTCATTTGTATTTTCTCTGCAGAGTCTCTGTATGACAGACCCTTGAATTTGAAAAAGAAATATACAGTAGGCCTATATTTGCATTTCATTCATTTTCTGTTAAAGAAAGTAAATTAAGTTCTTATTTTTAAAGTTTGAATTATTATTTAAGACTTAAACTCATGGGATAAGGGCATGGTGAAGACCACAAGCTATATTCACAGTCTTCACTCTGCTAAACAGCCTCGTCCCGCATTAGAAAAATATACAGTTAAAACAACCAAAGAGTTAATAGAACAATGAGGAAAACCCCAATTTGTCAAAAAAAATGAAGCCTATTAAGCATGATTCTTAAAATAATAAAAATACATTTAAGGAAGTCCTAAAAACATGAGTATTTACAGCTCAATAACCATTAAACTGGTGCTAATTACTCTTGAATAAGCGTCAAACTGACCTCAGAAAACGTCAACTTCATACTAAATGAGTATGAGTATGTATAAGAAAATGGGCTTGTATGGACTCCATGACATGAAAACTTCCATCTACTGAGGAAAAGATCGTGTGATGTGATTGAAAGCTCCAGAACAGCTATTAAATGGTTTTTCCAACTATTTCCAAAGGTCAGGAATAAATTTGGTGAAGTCTGCAGAAAATATCTCAGTGGCAAAAGGAAAGTAATTTTTAGTAATGCATATGTTTTTTGGAGGAGCAGCTGAGTCTCTGCAGATCCACCAGATGCTTCCTCTTTGGGGTTTTTTTTTTTTGGGCTCTGATGCCAAACCTTTTGCTCTGCACGGACGCCCTTCGCTGTCCATGAATCACGTAGCAGCTACCACCTCCACCATCGCCTCTGCCATTGCAGGCCTGACAGTTGCTATGGCAACAGACACAAACAAGACCCAACAGACAAGCCAGAGTGCCTGTCTGTCTCTTTGCAACAAAGACGCTCACTGTCGCAGGGAAAAAATCTCAACCAAGGCCATACTCACCGAGGAAACTGATGAATACATGCAGAGGATGTTTGGCAGTGAAGAATTTTTTTTCAGCTCTTACTTTAAATTGGTTGTGAAGTGAAATATAAATGTGGTTTGTTCATACATTTTCTAAATGTTTTGTGAGAGGGGTTAGGCTTTATAAGCTACACATTTTCAGTCATTGCTATCCTCGTTTTTTTGACATTTGCTTGTTATTTTGTGGCTGTTTAAGCACTTGCATGCAGTTATTTTTTTGGCATTTTTAAACTTAAAGCAGCAACAAGAAGCTTTCATTGTTTGTTGATTCTGGCGGCCTCTGTGGTCAAAGGTGGTACTGTTAAGAATAATTATATAGACATTTCCAGTCTGTCAGTCAGTATGTAGTAAGAAATAGGAAATTCACCACCACCATCACTCCAGTGTGCTGTGGTTAATTCTGATTTCTTACTCCTACAAGTATGTTTAAAAGTCCAGGGCGTATCCAAGAGCAATACTGGCCCTATCTTGAGCCAGTGGTTTTCAATATGGCAGGCTCTATCGAAGGCCATGTAGATAACTTTAGATATAAAAGGCTCATTCTAAGGTCACAAAAACACAACAATTCCTATATTAAGGTGATTATACACTAATTAAAACATACCTGTGAATATTACGTGCCATTTCTGCCAATAGATCCTCCTAAATGTTAAACACTGGACCTGAAGACAGGAATAAAGACTCATTCAATCCAATTTAAATACAGGGGGAAAGGACATAGTACAATACGTTTGCAAATTAAAAATACAAAGAACATATAAAGAACAAACGTAGCACTACTGATGTCAAGTTAACACATGCACGGTTAAAACTACCAAAAATGGGGAAGTCAGTTCAGTTCAGAGTAGGACATCCACTAATCGGACGGTTGTTGGTTCAATCCCGGGCTTCTCTGGCTGCATGTCGAAGTATCCTTGAGTCCTTTTACCATTTACTCTCAAACTGAATATTTGCATTTTTAACTTTACAAGAGAAAGGATTTTAGTACGAGGACTAATTGAGGTGTTTGGTAAACATTCCCAAATTCAGTAAGGAGCAGGACAGAGCTTAACTCTTAACTCTGATATTGGAGCCTCCAACATTGAACTGCCATGTTTCTACGTTAATGTTTCGCCCAGGAGTGCCGTAGTTTCTCCTGTGCTTGGAAGAAGAAGGAGAAGCGAGGGAGTTGCAATCTGCAACTACCCACTAAAACCTGCACACTGGTCCTCGAATACATTCCTTTTTCGTTTTGGGCTTAGAAAAGGCTAAACTCTTAAACTAAAGAGTATCTCTGTCATTACAGCGCCGTGCACATCACATAAAAAGTTTAATTTAGCCTCATTTCTACATATAATAAACTGCTGAATGTCCCCGTGATGGGTGAATAAAAATAGGATCTGAGGCCGATTAAAGCTCCTTGTCTGAGCATTCTGTGTTCAAAGGTAGCGTTTCACTACTTTGTCATGGTCTGGCGGCATCTGTTTATATTCCCCCCACTGATAATAATCAGTCTCAATCTGAGAATGCAAATATCTCATTCTCGGCTTTGCACAGGAAATACCAATATTTTGGTTGCCATGGTGACGCGTCCGGATGTTTGTGTGAAACCTGCAGCATTAGTCAAGTTCACAAGTTTGATGGTAGTACACGGTGTACTTGGAAGTACATGTACCAAATATACTTCTGGCTCCCAACAGTCTCACAGCACATACCCTGTTCATGTTGTTGAGGCCTAATGTTTTAAAACCGGGGATCATTTCCCGACATGATCATCATAAAAGCATCATGCAGGCAGTAAGTAAGCACATTTATAAAGCACTTATGTTGACTTACACTGCACTTAAAGTGAAGTGTTACCAGTTTTTTTTTTTTTGAGAGAGAGATGTCGGAGTAATTTGCCAACGAATACCTGCTGTGTCAGCATGAATCAG